TGTATGTCATCATTAAAGTGAAAAGGTACTAATGGTAATCATCCTCACCATCATCATCATCATCACCATCATCATCTTCATCATCATCACTATCTTCGCCACCACCACCACCATCATCATCATCATCACTTCCACCATCGTCATCATCATCACAACCTAGATGTCAGTTTCCGCAACTTGGTGACAGCTTTTACATCCGGGCTAATTCAATGAAGGCACAGCTTCTGAAAGATGAGGAAGAAAAGGAGGGGATGGCAATAGCAAGAAAGAAGACGATGATGACCGGAAATGAAGACGACGACGACGACGGTGGTGGTGGCGGGGATGGTGGTAAGAAGAGAGAGAAGAAGATAGTAAAAAAAGTGTGTGTGTGTGTGTGTGGTTGTTGTGGCTGTGTGTGATTGTGTGTAGTTGTTGTAGTTGATGTGGTTGTGTGTGGTTGTTTGTTGTTGTGTGTGTGTGGTTGATTGATCACAATCATCGTCGTCATCATCACAAACGCCACCACCACCACCATCACCATCATCATCGTCATCATCATCAACATCATCAGTACTATCATCACCATCATCGTCAGAAATCTGAGCGTTCACCCACGACCACAAGAAGCAAAAGTCGTAACGTCAACGACCACAGCAACGACGACGACGACGACAATGAGGCCTCCGATAGGGAGAACAAAAAGAAAGGAAAAAAGGGAGGAGCAAAAAAGAAAGTGAACGACGCTGGGGATGGTGAGGAGGGCGGTGGTGGTAGTGGTGGGAAGAAGGAAAAGGAGACCAAGATAGTCACTGAGTTGCCAAAAATTTGTTACGTAAGTAAGATGATGACGACGACGATGATGATGACGATGCTGATGATGATTACGCTGACAGAATGATGATGATGATGATGGTGATGATGATTATTATTGTTGTTGTTGTTGTTGTATCCGCTATCATTATCAGTACTTAGGGTATGATATGTCGGACGAGTTGATTGGGGTGAGTGGCCTCTCCAGCAACCTCATGACGAAAGATGGAGGCAATCTGGAGGTCGAAAGAATTCACATGGTGAATGGTGAGTGAGTGAATGAATGAATGAATGAATGAACAAATGAATGAATGAATGAACAAATGAATGAATGAATAAATGAATGAATGAATGAACGAATGAATGAATGAACGAATAAACGAATAAATGAATGAACGATTGAACGAATGAATGAACGAATGAATGAACAACATAACATTACAGACAGACTGCTGTTAAGAGCTTCCCTACTTAAGGACGGCCACCAGTTCACAGTCCACATCACCAATCCACACTTCAGCGATGACGCTGGCGGTTATGGTAATGATGCTAACGTCTGCGGTGGAGGTGATGATGATGATGTTGGAAATTTTGACGCCGGCGGTAATGATCCTTGTTCTCGCGGTGATGATGATGATGATGATGGAGAAGGAGGAGGTGATGATTATGATGACGATGATGATCACTGTGGAATTGTTAATAATAGCAACAAAAAAGGCAAAGCCAAGCAAACAAAGTCAACATCATCACTTAACTCAAACTCATCGAAAAAAAATAAAAAAAACGCGCCCACCGAATCCGCGGAAGTCCCTGAAGCCACCCCCTCCAAAAAACCTTACAACCCCCCTAAGATGCATCGAGCTGTTGGAGAGTTTTCGTCGTTTGTTGGGTACTTTTCTGGCGGCGTTCGTGTCTCATTTAGTGTCTTTGGTAGCAATGGAAAACCAGAAAACGGTTAGTTGTAATTGAATGAACAATAATTTAACAGTGCTCCAGATCGCTCTGCTTGCTGCCACACATTCAGATTAAACACAAACTACATTTTATATCCCAACCCCTCTCTACCTACTTAGGCACCCCCTACGATCCGCCCTTATACGAACCACCAATAAAAATCGAACAGTCAACGAACGCTGGAGGTGTGAGTGGAGGTGGTAATAGACATTCGTCAAGAAAAACTCAACCCTCGAAAGCCAGCCAAGCTAAGCAGGTGTGTGTGTGTGTGTGTGTGTGTGTGAGTGGAGATGCCTGTATTATTTATTCATTTATACTGGTTTAGCAGTATTAGTAGTAGCAGCTATGGTAGCGCAGCAGCAGCAGTTGCTTAGCGACGGTCAATGGAGGAGTGTTTAAATTTTGGAGTAATTAGCTGCTTAACAAACTGCTTCTAATTAGTTATCTTAATTAGTTATTTATTTCATTGAGTGAAATAAAAATATGTACAGGATTCTGGTAGTTTAACATCGAGAACGAACACTGCAACGCCCACGCAGCCGCGACAGCAGCCACAACAAATATTTTTACAGATGTATGCTTGCTCCTCTGACGGCTGGCAGATTGTGTTTATGCTGGAGAGTTGCATCGGTGGGTTTGCTAGTTGCTAGACTGCTTGGTTGCTAGACTGATTGGTTGCTAGACTGCTTGGTTGGTAGACTGATTGATTGACTGGTTGAATTGTTGTTCAAATTCATCTTTTATCGTTTAATTTTTTTTGATATACATGACTGTCTCAAATGATCAATAAATCTACAAATGAATGAATGAGTGAACGAACGAACGAACGAATGAATGAGTGAGTGATTGATTGAACGAATGAGTGAGTGAATGAATGAATGAAGGAATCAACCAATCAATCATTCAACCAATCAACCAACAGGGGTTCCGGTGTTTAATGATTCCAACCGCAAACTTCTCATTAAAATGACGAAACCACCACAAAACAACAGCAGCAATAAGCAAAGAAATAATAATAATAATAATAACAATAATAATAACAATAACGATGATGATGATGATGACGATGATGATGACGTAATTGATGATGATGATATTTGTGGGCTGATTGATAGATTGGATAGATGCAAGTTTAAACTTCATCTTAAAAAGGAGCGTTCTAGGTTTGTGAATGAATGAGTAAATTAATGAATGAACGAACGAACGAATGAATGAATGAATGAATTAATTAATTAATGAGTAACGATTATTATTACTATTAATCTAGGTATATTACAAGCGATGGTGATGTTGTGATTATGATGAAAGATGGATCGGCAAAGGTTTGTCCATCATTCATTCATTCATTCGTTCATTTATTCATTCAGTCAGTCATTCATTTATTCATTCATTCATTCATTCATTCATTCATTCAAGGTTCTATTCGCCGATGGTACGGTAAAAGTATTATGCCAAATGGCTGCCAGCGAGTCGACACAAAATGATGACGACCTCGATATTGAAACAACTGCAGATTTTAAAAAACGTTAAAAATGATTGGTTGAATGAATCCATGAATGAATTAATTAGTTAATTGGCAAATAGATGAATGAATGAATGAACGAATAAATGAATGAACGAATGAATGAATGAATGGATGGAAAGGTGGAGGGACGAATTAATAAACAATAAATTAAAAAATCTCACCAACCGTTCATAGTAAAGACAGCCAAAAAGCAACCGCAACAAACCGCCACGCCATCAGCAACAAACCATTTCGAAGGGGAAAAAACCCCTCAACAAAAATCTAAAAACGCCCCCCTAAAAAGTAAAGGAACTGCCGCCAATACTCCAGAAAAAGTGCAGCCTTTAAAACCTAAAATTTTGTGGGTCTGGGTGACTATCAGGCCCGATGGACAGAAATATATGCAAGGTTTAAAAGATGGTGTCATTAAGGTGTGTCGGAGTGTGCGTGTCTATACCGTCACAGACCCGCGTACCAACGAAGTATGTCTGTGTGTGTGCGTGTGTGTCCGTGCATGTGTGTGCGCGCGTGTGCGTGCGTGTTTATTTTTGAGATGGATGGATGTGGTGATTGATGGATAGATGAACGAATGGATGGACGGTTGGATGGATTGATAAATGAATGAAAAATGAACGACAGAAAGTGACCACCCGGGAAGACAACGTAGTGATAGTTAAGAAACCGAACGGCCTGTTGGTCGTAGAGCACGAAGACTGCACGAGGATATCCTCCATGCAAGTTATCCCGCACTGTACGTAGCGATAATAAAAATAACAATAATAATAATAAGTAACAACCCCTAACCCCCTACCCGTAGATGCCACGTGCGATAAATTCGACAAATCCGTCACCACCCACTTCACGGTCGACCACCCCAAACTACCCCGGATCGATTTCGACGGATACAAGATGGACGTCTATTTTAAGCGCGAAAAGACCCACGTGATTGGCTATCCCGAAGGATCGTACGTCGTCTGCCCGGAAAATTCCGGACAACTTGCCGTCAGTTCGTGCGGTGTGGCCGTTTATTTAGGCGCCACCAGACGGGCCAGTAGCGATCAGGATTGTAGTTGTTTCGGGAGTTTTGGTGTCAAAAATGGCGGGAAAACACCGGAAATTGGGAAGTTTGTTGTTAGTAACACGGCAGCGATGGGGAATTTCGCTGCTGAATATGAAAGTGAATGTTATGGTAAAACTGGCGGTGCTTGTGAGAATTATAACAATGTTAATAATAATGATCGTGATGGGGCAGGCTGTTATTTCTGCGGCCTGGATCATTGCGATTTTAACGGTGTGGATTATGTAAATGTATCCCAACTTGAGAGAAGAAGCAGCGGCCACTACGACGATGATGATGATAACGACGATGGGGTTGGTGTTGATAATGATTCCGATTATGATAACAGTGGTAATTATGTCTGCGATGAACTAAAACAACAACAACAGCAACAGCAGCAGCAACAACAACAGCGACAACAACAACATGAGAAACAGCAAGCATACATGAAACGGCAATTGAAAAACGACTTCGAAACTCATCTAAGACACGTGATAACTCAAGATAGAGGCGTTTATTTTCTGAAACATGACGGTGACGTAATTATTGAAACCAGGGATGTGACGGGCCGGAAGTACTTGATAATGAAAAACGGCGACTACCATGTTAATTTCGAAGGATGCCTGGCAGAGTATTTAGGTTATGGTTCCTTTTTCATTCTAGAAAAACACCAATGAATGACTGAATGTATGAATGAATGGATGAATGAAGAAATGAAAAATTAGGTGAATGATTTATTGATTTTTTTATTAATTATTAACCAATTAATTAACTAAAATTATTTAAAAAATTAAGACTCGAACGACCAACATCCAGTAACAAACGTGGACGAAGATGATTATAGAATCTTCTCCCTATCAAATGACAGCAGCAGCACAACAGGGCTCGAACTTCTCAGGTCCGAAACTGTCCAAAACCTCCTCGAAGAGTCCCAGCGAAATCCGGACTTTCACGTTTTGAATGAAACTCTGTATCCCAATAGCCAATCGTCGGCAATCACTATCACGAGAAGATTATTCGTAAAAAATAAAGCGATCAAGAAGAGTAACAAAAAACAATTCACATGCTCCTATCCGGACGATATTACTCCCATGGGATTGCTCTCAAGAAATTTTAAAAATTTTCCCGCCAAGGAGGAAAAAAGAAATGGGCCGAAGATGGAGCGAACCGGCGGTAAAGGATTGGACGTAAAATCATGGACAGGTTGTGATTTCGGCTTCGGGGATCCGGAAGATGAGTGCAATAAGGCGGATGGCTTGGAGGTTGTTGAGGTTAGAAAGATATTTGGATATCCCAAGCTAGATAAGGAGATGAGAATGAAGTGAGTGCTTGAATGATAGTGATTGAGATGATGGTGATTGTGATGCCGATGGTGATAGTTTTGATGATGATTGCACAAACAATGACGATGATGATGGTGATAATGATGACGATGATAAAGATGAAACAGATTTTTAAACATTTTGTCAGCATATTTTTTAACAATTTCAGACTTATGGAAGCCATCAAAAGATACAGCGACGACGTAATGCTGAAAACTAAAGATCAAAAAAGCAAAGAAATCATAGATAACAGAACAGACGAAGAAATAAAAATGGCCGACAATCTTAGAGTTAGGATGATGCAAAAGTTTAAAAGTGAGCCCGTCCAAGAAATAGTGTTAGGATGTAATTGTTTCGATGAGAATTTCACCACCAATATAAAAGAAGACGAAGTTGCTGAAGATGATATCGAGAAAACCGTCGAACCGATTACGAATATCGAATACGATGACAACACTAATACCGAGAACATTGAGGTGGAATCATTCCGATTTAACAGCAGCGTAAGAAATGTCTTAGATGACTGCTCCGATAGAACCATCAAACAGAGACCACTAACGAACTTTCAAACCAGTCAACCAATTTTCAATTTTTCAGACGAAATCCCAACGAATATTCCTAATAAAGAACCGGTTCTACTCGTTAATGTCGCCAGACAAGGAGCGATAAAAATAACGGAAATTGGTTTTAAAAACGCTATTGATATTTTAGAGTCCAACTCTATTAATAAACTCTGTTTTCCGGCTGTTACTAATATCACCGCTCCTTCTTACGATGACGCAATTGCTGGAACTGAAGTTGAATTTAATGAAAGGCCGGGAGTTTATGGGAGGATCAGTTTATACAGTTTATGGGAGGATCAAAAACAACAACAGCAGCAACAACAACCACATCAACGACAGCAACTAACCGATAAACTAGTTCTACTTACTGACCAAATAAATTTCGGCCTCATCAAAGAAGGAAACACGTACGGAGCAGTGATGTACCTGAAAAATTTCAACTTGGAGTCGAAAAAGTTTCGAGTTAAGCAACCGCCGCCCAGCACCGGTATACGAGCCGTTTACGACCTCGTATTTGTTAGTTCGGTTTTTTGTCGAAACTGTTGGATTTTCTCATGGTACCGACCGATCCATCTGCCGCTGTTTAAATATTTAAAAAATTGTTTTACTAATTTTGAAGTCATGTTATCAATTTGTTAATTTAATTCAGTCATTCATTTATCCACCCAGCCGTTCAATCAAGCATTCATTTCTTCATTCATCCATTCACTTATTAATTCATCCTTCCTTTTTTCACTACTGCCTCACACACATCAGGTATCTCCCGGGTTGAGGTACGGAATTCAGGTGGAGGTATACGCTATGGCTGCCGGATTGGGAGGTACGGAAGGAAATGACGTCAGTGTCAATGGGGGCGTGGTTGACCTTTATCACGACCTTCAAATATTTACGGAAGATGGCGTTCTTACGTGCCCCATCACGGCCAATATCTTTTTAAATTTTATTCATTAAATCTTTTTTCATACATTTTGAATACTCAATGATGCGAAATAATTGCTTTACTTTGCTCTAACTAGGCCGATCTACAATCTTTTCATATTCAAACTTACTTATTTAAAATAATCTTACCGAGAGAACTGTAGCTTAATATAAATTATGACCTTGACCCCATACGACCTCACAAATCATACCAGCGAACGTGGAGGACTGTGAATATTTGCAGGATGCCTGCTCAGCTGACCAATCATTGGTCAGAAGTCCAGGGGTTAAACTGTTAGCCAATCATAAACCGCCTTCTGGCAATGAAATTTTTAGGACCTGGAAGAATCTTAAAAGTAGTGACGTTTATGCATATACCTCTCTTCCTTTCTCTCTCTCTCTCTCTCTCTCTCTTTCGCTTTCTTTCTCTTTTTCTCTCATTTCCACTCTTTTTCTTTCTCTCTGTCTCAATTCATTCTCATTAAATTTACCAAAAACATTTCAGATTGTTCGGCAAGACCAGTTTTATTAATGAACCAACAGGGGAAATTTTAACGAACGAGCAAATTAATTTTAAGATTTCATTGAATTTAAGTCTATAATGATTAATTCTGTTTTGTTTTCTAAATGACATTTAATTTTATTAATTAATCAATTCACTAATGGAAAAATTTAATTTGAAAATATTGTTTAAGACCTTAATATAATGATGTTATTAGTTGTAATTAACTAAAGTAAAGTAGTAATTAAATAGCGGCAATGTTAGTAGTGGTAGTTATAGTGGTAGTAATGGTAGTACTAATACTAGTATTAGTAGAATTAAATATAGTTGTTCTTTCAATTGAATTCAATGTCAATCATAGTATGATTAAAAAGCCAAAGTCAATCATAGTATGATTAAAAAGCCCTCTCATACTTTGAATGAGGATTTATTAAAACAGTCCGGTAATGAAAAGAAAAAATTACTACAGATAATCCGACGGGGCAGTTTTTCGGTCAAATCATGCGAAAGGAAAAAATGGAAAATCTAACAACTCCTGGAAAGATTGCAAGAAAAAGAGATCGCGGTCAACAATGAATAACATTTGTAAAGTCCTCGTTGAATATCACCACATTTCAACTACTACAAAGTGTTAAAGATCGGATTTTGTGGAGGTCGATGATCGCCAAAGGCCTGAAAGGGTAAGACACGAGAAAGAAGAAGAAGAAAGATAGAAATGTCTCCTCACAAAATGTCAAATTTAATGACTAAAATTTATTTAAAGATAAAATTATCTTCCATTTATCTACATGTTACGTACATATATGTGTGTATTTAATGTAAATGTATGACGGTATACATTGTATATACTGTGCAAATACCCGCTGTACGTGTGTATAGATGTATATGAATAAATATACACAATTATAGATATTGTATAGCGCTAGTTAATTTATTCATATTTGTTACGTAAGTTACTGTTAATTTTTTTGAATAATAACTTTCTATTTCGCGAACGATGGGGAAGAAGTTTATATAAAATTTAGCGTTCAAACCGGATTTTTTTAAATATAAAATTAATAATAATTTGCTTTTGTTAAACTTTTTTGTCGAAAATTTGAGTTGAAGTCAGAAAATGTCCGTTTTTTGTATAATTTTTATCTGCTTCTCACCGCTGCCAGGTGAGGTACCACACAAATTAATAAGTTGCAATCATAATAAATCTAAAATAAAATTCAATATTTATATATACTATTTTGTTATTAAATGAATTTTTACAGTAATTTAGATGGCGAAGATCATATGCAAATCACACAAAAATTTTTTTTAAATTTAAAGGACACTGCCACTAAATGATGACTAGACTAGACACTAGAGACTAGACTAAGCACAAAAATTAACCATTGAAAATTTATAAAATATTAAACTGTTAACTAAAAAACCACAATTATCAATATTGTCAATCAATGAGTCATCATTGAAAACAATTTTCATTTAAAAGTGGTATTTAATTATTAATTCCAAATGATATTGACAAATCAACCATTATTTTTTTTATTAACTTTTCTTGCCCTAAACAACTTTTATTTCTGCAGCATGTCTGGCAGAGGTTTCACCTGATGTGTTGTTCACAACCAGCGGTGCATGGGTCAGTTGGTCCAGGGAAGGTTGTGCAAGTGATGCTTGGATGGCAACAGAAGTTCAGAGTTTAAAATTTAAACAGAATTTTACTGCAGTTAAAGAAGCAGCTGGAACATTTACGTGCTACACAGACAATAACATAGTGAAACTTCTCATTGTTAAAGGTAATTGTTTTATATAGATTTATGAAAGATAAGAACTGTTAGATATTTTCGTTTTTTCTAACTAGATGCAGTGTAATATATATGTCTGCTGTCAATAATTTGCTAACTAAACAATTTTTTCTTGGAGACAAAGATTTGGAGATGGTCATAACTCCAGAGACTTTAATGGATGGGCAGAACATGACAATCGACATTTCTGGCAGCTATTACATGGGTGCTTCACAAGCCTCTCCAAACACAATTACGATATTCAATGGAGAGGATCCGATTGGTTCCTTCGAAGCTGATTTCAATGTTGTTTCAAAATTAACGTCATTTTATATTAGTACAACTCTTCCAGCTGATTACAGAGCCACAAACAACTTCAAGTACGTGTGGTCTTTTAAGAAAAATTCAGATCTAGCATTATATGAAGCAAGATTCAATTACACCAAACCAGTTAAAGTTTACAGTGAGTGGATTATTTTTTTTTAATAATTTATATCAAAATCAAGACGAACAATGATATGTCCCGTAAAATTTTTGCAAAGTTGTACAAACAATAAAGAGAGAGAGGGAGAGAGAGAAAGAAAGAGAATAAAATAATTTGATGCTTGCTTTGGTTCATAATTAAATTTACCTGCTTTGATTATGGGTAAACTTGTTGTTTGCTTTTGAAAAAGATATTCTTACAGTAAGTAGAGCAAGGCTTGTTTGGAAGTTGAATATTTTTTAATGAAAAACCCTCCAGAGCCTGTTACAGATGTTAAATTCAACAGCACTCATACATGCGTTGATCGTTCGATCACTTGCAACGGTGTTGGAGTGCCACCGCCAACATATAGCATCTCATGCATTCCACAAGATGATGATGGAAGTAGTAGCAGCAGCAACAGTCATGTCACATCAGATACTAATGTTTTGACCTTAACCGTGAGTGGTATGTATAATTGCACATGCACTGCTTCCAACGTCATCATCTCTGAATCATATAGAGCTGCAAATAGTAGTTCGGTCATCGTTTATAGTAATTGTGAGTTTCATATTATTTCTTAAGTAAAATTGATTTATTTATATTAATAATAGGAATAATTGCAATACTTAGGGGAAAAAAAATTATGATGCGTTTTTTATATTTTTAGTAACACAATTCCTCAACTTTGTTTTTCTTTACTAAAGATAATCTTTATTTAGTTAGTGTTAACGAATGGATGAGTAAATGAATGAATGAAAGGATGTAGGGATGAATAAAAGGATGAATGAATGATTGAAACATAGGATGAATTGATTGAGTATTCTAGATTACCGCCGTACTGACTTTTGAACTTCAACTCAGCAACTTCTTTCTTACATTTGTGACTGCGACTATAATAGCAACGATAATAATACATATACTACTAGTACTAAAACCACTGATAACTAGATATAATAATAATACTAATAATAATAAAATTATGCGTAGCTAACTTCGCAATCATAAATGACATCAGGCATTTTTATTTAACAGGCGACCAGATCCCAAAACCCGATGGTCAGTTTACAATAATTATAATTGTTATTATTCGTACTATAATTTTTTTTGGTAATTACTATCAATCAGATATTTTTATTTAAGCTGGGAAAGGTCAGTTTTTTATAATTATATTTATTATAATATAATTATTATTATCCATTATATGCTTATTTGTTGGAATTCATATTCTAGAACATCTTAGCACAGAGGGTTTGTTTCATCTAATTACTATTACTTAAGTGAGGTTCACGTATTTATATTTATATTAATAACAGGAATAATTGCAATAATTAACACTAAAACCAATTATACTTAAATATAATTATAATAATAATTATAAAATTATGCGTAGCCAACTTGACAATCATAAATAACATCAGGCATTTTTATTTAATAGGCACTGAGACTACTGTATTTGAAGAAGGTCAGTTTACAGTGATAATAATAGCTATTATTTTTATTATAACTACGTCCTACCTCGGGGAACCGGGTCTCTGGACACAAAACGAAGATTGATTGATTGATTTTTATTATAACTATTTTTATCCATAATATACATATGAATGAATCAATTGATTGAGAATTCTAGATTACCACCGTGCTGACTTCAACTCAACTTATTTCTTCCATTTGTGACGACTACTATGATAGCAGTGATAATAATACATATGCTATTGGTACTAAGAGTAAGGCTTTTTATTTAATAGACTACAGTGAGACCACTAAACCTAAAGGTCAGTTTACAATAATTATTATAATAATTATTATTTATAATCAAATTATAATTATTATTTTTCATGATATACATATTTTTTGTGATTAATATCATTCCAGAGAAACCTCCTGCAAATGGTTTGTTACATTTTACTACTATTACTATGGTGTATGGTTTATTTTATATAATTATATAAACCATACGCAAGTCATAATAATAAAATTTTTCAAAATGCTGTTTTATCAATACAATGCAAAAGTTACCCCGGAGTTAGCTTATTGTGGCTTATTATCATAACCCAGTTGTTTGTAAAATCAGGACAAAGTTGAAGAAAATCAAAAGTGAATTCAATCTAAATATGAAATATTTAGAGATGCCCTCGGCAAAGGAAAAAAATTTAAAATTTTTAAGAAATTTATTTCAACTTTTTTGTAAACTGCTTAACCTAATTTTCATAAAATGAGTAATTCATTCATTCGCTATACTTTTTTTTATTCATTCACTCACCCATCCATTCACTCATCCCATGAAGATGCAGAGAGATCTGTAAAGATTGGCACTGGAGTTTGCGCCAGCCTCGTCCCGTTGTTGCTCACCATTACTTAAAGAGGAAGAAAAGGATAATAATTAATGATTTAAATATTTGTACGAAGCATTACGAATGAATAGCATTCATAATAATAACATCAGTACAAATTTACTTTATTTATCTTAAACTGTAATTTATAATGCTGGATTTTTGTTAACCGCCTTTTCGTTTTCTTATTTGAACTTTGTTATTTATTGAAATTATTGTTTTTGTTTCAAAAATGTGTTTATTGAATTACAAATTTTTATTATTATTGTGGCACAAAAAAACCCTATCTTTATGCTACGAATGATCAGTGGACGAGCGATTGAAATGAGGAAAGACTTGTTTATATGTTTTGTCAATCACTCTAAAGCTGTTGATGGCTTGAAACACGTGGAGCTCATGGAAGGATTTGAAAATTTGGACATTGATGGAAAATACACGAGAGTTATCAAAAACCTCTAATGGCAGGGCCGGATTAACATATTCAGAAGCCCTAAACTCTATGTCCACACAACATAGACCGTGGTCCGTTGACATTGTTAGTTAATTAATATGACTAATTCATCTCAAAT